AAGGTAAGAAATTTAACTTTTATTAAGTTACTGCTATACGTTAATGAAATCATATAGAATACAGCTATATTAATTTATTTGTGACCCCACATTCGCTGCACCCTAGAAATATTAGTTTTGCGAAAAGGCCAGTTAAAATCTTTTAAAAAGAAAATCTCGCCTACAGTTAGTGCTTGATTAGTTCCTTTTTTGTGTAAAAATTAAATGTTAAAAAGTTTTAATAACCAGTGAATTATTATTTAAAAGGAAAGATACACAATATTACTACAAAAAAGTTTGGAAGGTGAGCGAGTTAGCAAGTAACAGAAGTTCATAGTAATATAAAACGTGTTGCTAACCATATACGAAATTTTGTTTAAAAAATTCGCTATCACTTTCATACTAGTAGGACAACTAGATTTAAAAAGAAATTTTATTAAAATTTTATAAATAATTTATAATAATTAACTTTAATGCATAACACATGTACCATTTAATAATTTGTACTTAACCACAGAATAAGTTATAAAATTTAAAACAACTTAATTTCTTAGACGATTATTATTTGATAGTCGAATATATAATAATTTACGAAAGCTGCTTTTCTAAATTGTTAGTGTTTTTTGTACTAATATATATACGTTCAACTTAGTTATAAACAGTTTTCTATTTTATATAAATTAAAAATTCAAATTCAAATTCAAAGTCTAGCCTACCGTAAGTTAACTTGAAAAAATAAAATTATTAAGGTGCCCTCAATCTAAAACTTTTGAGCAAAGACTTCACATATCGTTGTCTTGATCAGTTTAATTTATTGGTGTTAAATTATTTCTATTACAGTCAGTACCTAAGCTTTTTAGGATAATACTTAAGGCTATCCAAGAAAATAGCATTATTTAATTCGAGTAATATTATTTTTAATACACAATATATTTACTAATTTAGATAAGGCTAAATTGATTATCAACAGAAGCCGAACTGAAATAACAAACTTGCATAACTAAGGACTTATTTATCGTTCGTAAGGATTAATAACATTATATATTATACAATTCTAATAGATGAAAAATAATAAACTAATAAAAAGCAAATAAGGTACATGAGGAATATATAAAAAAAAAGAACTGTTAAAAGCGCATCAGCAAATAACAATTACACAAATAGTCATAAAGCTTATTAGTTTTAGTTTATTATTACTTCTTTTTGAAATAATTATAAAGTTAAGTTAACTTCGTTTTATTTATAGTAATATTATCTTATTAAATAACTATATATTTTTTTTTATTTTTTTTTAAAAGAATACTAATTCATATATGTATGTTTTATTTTTACTCCATTTCTTATTATTTCATTAACTATTATTATTAGTATTTAATATATCGTATATATAAAAAGTACAGCGACAGGTGTTAAGAGTAGCTTTTTTTTTCAACGTTTCACTCTTACGCAATCATAAAGCAGAGTGCACATTACCATATTTTAATAATATTTATTACTAAATTATTCTTTTTTAGTAATTTTTATTAATATAATAATAAAATCCCGTTTAGTAAAAAAAATTTAACAAAAGTAAAAATTTGCAAAAGTTAAGCCCTTATTAGCTGTGAGCCTTAATTTTGTTGCGTGAGTTTTTCATCAATTAAAGTTTTCTTTTATTGCTAGTTTTTCATATTAAGTAGTGGATGCTCTTCACTAGAGGTCTCGATTTATTGTTTTTTTTTGGGCCTGTCTTTTTCTTTTCCCACAAACTTTGAAACCTAATTATATTAACGAGGTCTTTAACTTTTGCTATGTTATTTTTTGTCAGTAAACGCTTATAAATATAATATTTCAGTTTTGCTTATATTAATTATTAAGTATTAAATATGTTATTATCGAGATTTTTACTTTTATTGTTTGTTATTTTCGCCAGTAATTATATTTAATTGTAAAGATATATATTTCATAGTTTTCATTATCATTTCCTTTATTAAGAGTTTTTTTATGTTAAAGTATTTTTCTCACTATCATTTATTAATTCCTTTTTGTTTCATGATTTATTATTAATAGATTCTATATATATATTTTTTTAGGGCTGCATGTTATAAGATTATGAAGAAATATAATATTCTAAGAAGGAAAGTTGACATCACCGGCGTAGCTGTTGTGTTAATATTTACAGGTGTTATAATAGCAGAAAAACTAGTTATTATTTTAAATTAACTTTTTTTTTTACAATAGTTTTCTTTTTCACTTCTGTAATTGCGGGATTAGTAGTTGCTTTTAAAAAAAGATAAAATGCAAATGTTAAAATCTTAATATTTTTTTTTGCTTTAATAAACTTTTGATATTTATTAATAAAGAAAATATTTTTTTTAAAAAAGGTTATTCGCTTAGTTAGCTAAGTTAATATTTTTGTGTAGAGCATTAATAAAAATTAGCATCGGGATCATTTTTTTTAAAGGAAGTTACTTTATTAAACATAGTATAAGCGATAAGCATATATATAGAATAGACTAGAAGCATAAAATTACACGTAATTTAGTATACTAATTCTCAACGACTCGGTGAACTTTTTGTATTGATACGCTTTGCTAAATTTATTAGACGAATAATATTTACTTATTAACAACTTTACGTTTTACCTTATTACTGCAACGTTGCTAGTAAACTTTAGAATTTGCTATATATGAAACCCACCTTGAGGTTAAGATTTTAGGTTTTTATAATTTTACAAGTGCTGATGCACCTGCAGAAAGTTTAATAGTTAGTACTTCTTTTTTTTAAAAATTTATATCATTTTGAAATCTTCGACACTCTTGATCTTTAACTCTATTGTAAAGTAAAATCTAGATGACCGGGCCTTGAACCCTTCCTTATAATTTGTAAAAATCTGAATAATATACAATATTGTCACAAACTATATTAAATTTCGTTTTTTAGGATATTTGATACAATTAAACATAGGAATAAGTAGGAAATAAGTTTGAGTTCGTACTTGATCTATCTAAATTTTTATTTGCTGCTTTGATTAACCAATTTTATAATAAATAGCTTGTATGTTGTATTCGCCTTTATAAATTATTTTGGAGACTGCTTCTTATTTTAATTCATGAGTCTGGTCTCAGCGAGTCTGCAAATCTTATAAAAAAAATGGTTAATCAAAGAAATGAAATAATTAAATAATTAGTAGTCTTGTTTTTAAACCTGCTGCAGTAAAATGCAATTGTTAAATGACAAATGAAATTATAAGATAAACTTACATTGTCGTTGCTTTTGCACCCTCTGACTTAGCTAAAAGAGTATATAAGTGGAAAACTTAACTTCTTGAAAGCTTCTTTACTTTAGGTTTGTATTGTTATATAGCTATTTAATATTTAAACCGAACTACGAAATTAAAAGGAATAAAAGTCCGGGCTAGACAAAAACTATAAATTTCGGGTCGTATTCAAGTAGCTTTTTAAAGAGATATATATAAAATCTTGATAGGTTTATATAAAGGTCGTGACTAAAAAGGTAGATCTTTCTTTTTTCAGATAGGTGTTTTAATTTAAATATTTACTTATAACAATTATTAACTTTACTAAAAATGAGTTTTCATGATAAGAGTCTTCTTTATACTACCTTTTTTAGCCGTTCTTGAAACTTAAATTTTTCCATTCCACTTTTTTTTTTTTATTTCTTTTGTAAGAAATCCTTCCATAATGAAGTAAATACGCTCTCCCTGACACGATAATAACTTTTATGCCTTTCATTAGCTTTCAAAAATGGGCTTCAATCATATAATATAACACCTAATTAACCTTAACCGGTATTTTAATGTATTATTCGAAAGAGGCGAGATTTCTTATCTATTGTTGTTTACAGTGTTCAATTTAATCGGAGTATTTTTTTGTCAGTGAATAACAAATAATTCATATTTCACTGATATTGCCTCTGCGGTTACTTTGTAAGGCTTTAAAACGCAATACTATTTTTAAAGCTGTCAAAGAAGCTGTTTATATATGTTTTTTCCTTTTTTTTTTGGAATAATTAAAATTAAGACCTCTAGCTTAAAAAAGAGAATAAGAGTTCCATTGAGCGTTTCTAGGAATAAAAAATATCAGCAGTCATTATTTTACTTATAATACTTTATTAGCAAGTTTTTTAAGTAAAATAGTTGCCTCCTACTCCAGGGGTATACATTAGTTCTTATAAAACCTAAAAAAATAAAAAAATAAAAAATAAACTTAACTAGAAGCCAGTAATGTGCATTTAAAATAATTCGAGAGAAACTCCAAATAAGGAAAGGAGACATAATTTAAAGCATTTTCAAATCCACATTTGAAACCTTTCAAGATTTTCACGATTTTACCAATTCTTTTTAGCGGTAATTATTTTATACCGATTGTAAGCCCGTACATAGCCAGCTAGTCAAAGGCAATAAGTAAAAGTTTTGATAAACCACAATGTTAATAAGCATTCATGTTTATAAATAGTTTATAAAAATAACTTGTTCTGCTGTATGAATATAGTAGCATGTTTATTAAAATAATGGCTCGGCAAGCAATACTAAATAAATTAAAGATGATAAAACAGGGATAAAGCGTTTCTACCATAAGATTGCTAACAACTCTCTCTTTTCTAACAAGCTTCGAATTTAGTGTTTGGTTTTTATTTAAATTTAGCTATATATTAAAAAGTCAGTGGAGAGTCCACTTATATACACACACATGTATCTAAAAAAAATTGAAGATAAAAATAAAAGAAGGTTAATTATAAGTCTAGCCAAAATATAGAACGCACCGGTTTTCTGGTGAAAAATTACACTAGCGATTCCTTCCCAGCGTTGAGAGTAAAATCGTAAAAACGCATCAACAGTTCATACCTTTTAGAAATGCCCTTACCTACTTTGCAATTGGCTGTTGGTATTGTAACAAAACTTTCTTTTTTACTATCAATAATACTTTTTAGAGGGAAGAACTAGAAAAAAAATGAACTGGATGGGGCCTTTGTTAGTCATATAAAATATAAAAAGCTTCTTAAGACTTTAAAATCGGAGCCGAGCATATTTGGCTATTTTTTTAACATACATAAAATATATATAATAAAAAGTATTTACAGAACAGGTTTGGCAGAAAAGCATATAAATACAAGTTTTCCCCCCATCTAAACTCGCCTCTTTTTTTTCAGTCGACTGTGTTTCGTTCCTATGAAATTTCATAATACTAAGGAAATTCCTGAAGCGAATGTACAACTACAAAATGTGGATTCAGTGGGCTCACCAAATGCGTATTTAGCTTTGATGTTCGTTCAGCTCCTCTACGTAAGCAATATGCATTTTAAAGTGGAAGGTGAAGGGATCTACTGGAATCTCTTACTTTTTGCTTCTGTTTATGGTTCTTTCTGTAGTTGAATTTGTTTCATCGTTTGAGATTCTTTGCTGTGAGTATAGGCTTTATCGGAGCGTGGCTGACCTCTACTTATAGTGTGTTGCCGTATAGCCCGGATATTACGTATAGCAAATTTATATACTATTCCTATTTCACCGTGGAACCATTTTGGATTTTTTTTGAGTTTACAATATTGTATTGCAACTACCTTAAATTAAAAGCAGTACTAACACCAGGTTTTCCTTAACTTGTAATACCTTGATTAGGGTTATTTTTTCTTTATTTTCTAACAATTTTCTAGGCTCGAAAAGAATCAAGTTACTTAAATGGTTGCTAACTTTTGCAACGTTAGCCTTTTCTGGAGGGAGAATATATATAAGTTTTGTTAGATTTCAAACCAGAATGCTTGAAAATGACGCAATTCACAAAGCACATATATTAGCTTGGGCCATACTATTTTCAATGGAGTTACTTTTTTCAATTAGCATTCTTTGTATATCCTATAAAAATTACAAAGGTCATTTAAAAACTGGCGGAGAAGGCCCATCTTTTTTTGTAACACTTTTTAAAAGTAATTTATTTGTACTTTTTAGTCTTGACGTGTTCGGTTGCTGCTTAGCAGTGACAGCTTACTTTAATCAAGTAAACAGCTTCGTAAAAAGTCTCGCAGATATTTTAAATATTATGAAAAGCTCGTTCCCTTTGCTTTTGGCGACGGACGCGCTCTGCATAAAAATTCAACAGCGAAACCAAACGGATCAACGGAAAGCACTTTTAAGTTGACAGATTTTTACATGAAGTAATAAAAACCAATAGTTAGGATATATTAAACTGTGATATTTAATTAATTTTAAGATAAATTAAATTATATACAGGATGAGTTTAGATTTAATTTCATAGCTGCGGGAGCTTAACACATCCTTACGCCATTTGCTAAAGCGGGCAAGTGGCAAACGTATTGGAGTCTAGCAAAAAAAAATATTATTAAGGCAAAAGATAGCGTTATCTTTTATTTTATAAGTAAATATTGTAAATCGGAAGGATTCGAAAATTGAGGTTTACCAAAGAGAACTATATACTTTATTTAAACAAAAATGTTCTTAATAAAGATTATCTCAAATTGTTTAAGCAATAATTTAGAAATGAGAAATAAAAAAAATTCAATCATTCAGAAGTTTTTTAAAAAAATTCAAGTTTAAAAAAGCATAGAAAGTTAACTAAAGTTCCAAGCAATGGATATCATAAATAGGTTTATAAATTTTTTTCAAATTTTACTTTCTGTCAGCCTTGAAGAAAACTTTAATTCCTATAACAAATAAATATTAAAAGTAAAACTTCAATTTTGATATACAATTTTAAAATTAGAGTATTAGTATATCAACTTTTTAATAATTAGACTTTCACACTTCTAGAAGCAAAAGAGTGGAATTCTATTCTATTTTCAACTAAAAATCTTGTAGCCGCCCTAATTTCTTTTTTTTTAATTCAGTCTTTATACTTGAGCAATACTTAATTATGTGTTTCCGTTTAAAGTCGCAATTTTTCTGTTTATGGATTATGTAGACTTTTAAAATAAAATTATTACAAACTAAAGTGGTTGAATAAACTAGCTTCCTTGAAATAAGTATTTAATCAATGTTAATTTATCTGCGTTCTTATATTTTACTATTATACTCCAGATTTTCAACTCAAGGGAATATTATTTAGCTTTATGCTAAAGTATTTTTTCTAAAAAATTGTAGTCCACTTTACAGCTGAATGAGGAACTAACTTAATTGAATAAAGATTATTAATACCTAGTAAACTTCGAGTTGAATTATAACTTTATTTCTACTAAGGGTAAACTTAGTACTTGTAAGGTATAGTTAATTTATATAAGAACTAACAAACTTTTATGCTGGATTCGTCAGTAGTAAACTTACTATTAAAACAATGGAGGCAGTTCAGTAGTACTTTCGTACCGAGAAAATTCAAGACCAATCCAATGAACTCGGGAAAAAGAGCAAGAAAAGAAATTTCTTTTCCCATGCAGCAATCATAGATTGCATTCAGCATGGATAAAAACTCGTAGTTTCTATTTATTTGAAAAACGCTTCGAGCAGTCTTTTAAAGTTAGGTGTGTAAAGATGCGAGCTTATTCCATCGGAGGTTGTCTAAAGAAGTATATGGAAAGTTTACTGTTAGAGTAGCAAAACTGAAGGACCGGGTTATCTTATCGAGTCGACGAAGGTTAAGCTCGATAAAAGAATGGTTTTACTTCATACTTAGAGCAGAATTGTTCTCTGTATATATATTTATTTATTTAATTATTTTAAAAGTAGTTAAAGTGCTAAATTATCCTAATCGGATAAGCTAGTTCAAACCTAGCTAGCTGTACTCCTCTGGCTCCTAGAAGTGGGAGCGGCGCTATATGCTCTATTGTCTGGCTTCCGTAGTAGCAAATTTTAATATAGAATTTTCTCGGGCAAGTTTTATTTTGAATTCTTGTAATCTGCTTGCATGTAGTATTCTCCTAACTATCTGTGTAGAGTCCAGTGAACTTTGTGCTGACGTAATGCTTGAGTCAAACTTTGGTTGAGATAGCATCATTGGTGGATTGGGAGTATACTCTCTGTTCTGGCTAGTAGTAAAGCTAACAATAATTGTTCCTAGAAAATATCGACTTCTAGGGAGTTTTATGGAAATTATAGCATTATTATTAGATATATTTGTTATATTGCAGAGCTCTTTTAGTATCCTTCCGTATTTTGAAAAGACTTCTTATGTTTACTAAAGGGGGGTTACTGTTAAGATTGCTATAAAATGACACTATTCGCTTCTATTCTAGAAGGTTTCAGATTAGCTTTAAACTGTTTCTGAGCTCTATGGATATAAATCTTAGTAGCCTGTTCAATTTGTGATATGGTTTGGTACATTGCTTTAATGCTAACGGTAGCTTTCTGGCTTTGACTAATGCTTCTTCTCTGTTAGATAGTTCGTGCCGCCGGTTGGGTAATCAATCCTATTAAATGGTGTTCTTAACTATTATCTCCTATATCTTTGCGGCAGCTCCCTAATAACTCTTTTAGCTAGTTCATAATTCATTAGTGTGTTTGATACTCTTAGACTAGTTGATCTGTTTGTAGTTTTAATTCATGCTGGTGTAAAAGTAATTTTTTGTCCAATGAGTCACTCAATCGCTGGGTACTGGTATTCTTTTCAGTAGTTTATTGCCTAGTGCATACAAGCATATGTGCAATTCCCTTCTAGGTTTAATTAGCTTTCTAGTAAATAGCATATTTTTTTTCTCATTAGGAGGAGCTTAGTAGAATTAAGCTACGCTAACCATGTATAAGAGATATGAGCTTTTATGACCATATCGCTCTCTCATGAAAAAAAACACTATACTACTATCCCTGTGGGTCTTATATTTAGAATATAAGGCCCCAAGCAATCCGCGCGCTACCTGCATCTTTTATTTTTCTTTAGTGTGGGTGTTTGCTATAGCATCCTTATTAACTAACTTTTGTAGTATTGGCTAGTAAAGTAAAAAGAAAAACACGAAGGGCTAACTACTTTTCACCTTAACCTCTGATATAGTAACGCTTGCCTGTAGAAGTTATCTATTAGAATAGATATTTAAACAGGCCTTGTGCTTTTAAGCAGAGCATTGGTGAGATTTGTTAAGTTCTAGATCCCTTCCTTGTAAATAGCTATGAGTGATGTCAAAACTTTATCGCACCTTTCCTGGGTCGTAAGTGCGGGCTTGAACTCAGTAGTTGGGCAAAGGCTTTATAATATTATTGACCATTGTTTGAGATAGCAGTACAGTTTAATAAGGAGGCGTGTTCTTGATCCTGCTGAAGTAAAAAAGTGTATTTAAACTTGCGATCTAGCTTCTTGCGTATTACGTGCAGCATTTAAATAGTACTGCTTGCGAGTGTTTACAATATATATATGCATGCACCCAATCCGTATACGTCCTTACCGGTATAAAGCGCGTTCGTTCTAGTTGATGGCGTTATGTTTTGCTAAGAAAGTCGAAACTTCCGCACCCTTATTTAGTAGAGTGAGAGTAGTTTAAGCAGCAGTTGATTATAAATTACATCTGTAGTAAACCAGTACTGAAGTTGGAAAAAAAAATCCGCCCAAAATTTTTAAGCTGCTGTAAATTTCTTAAATCTTCAAAAAGTTAAGAGTTATCACTGTAGGCAAAAACAATAATTTTATTTCGCAACACGTTAATTTCCCTCGGACTTTGCAAACTAAAAGATACGTACAATTATAAAAGTTTAAGTTTTATTGGATTGAAAGTAAATTTAGCAAGAGAATTCAAAAATACAATTTTAAACTGACAATTTATTAAGCCTGAATTTAAATTGTGTAAATTTTATTTGGCTAAGGTTTAGAACTGTTCAAGTCGTAGTAATAATTTTTTTTTTATAATGAAGGCGTTTATTTTGTAAAAAATCGGAAAATAAAAAATAATACTCCACCTAGTAAAGTAAATTGTTTTTCGAATAGTGTAATAAATTCATACAAACTTGTTTTCTATTTATATATTTAAATAATACCGTTATTAATCCTAAACAATTATTTTAAACATTTTCCTTTTACAAAGAAATTTTTAGGTTAGTTTGTAAATTAAAGGTTAATGTCAAGATGAACACTATGAAAGGTGAATATATTTTGCTGCTACATTATTACTAAAAAACTTTTAACATTGAAAATTTTTATCATAATCGGACTTTGTAAATCTTTTGATGAGGAATTCGTAGTAGAGTTTGGCTCTGACTTTAGATATTAATTTGGTATGATTGCTGTTGTACTGCTTCTACTATAATTATTTCTATATAATTAATTTTTTTTAAGTATATACGGTGAATTAGAAATCTTTATACATCTTAAATTATTCTTAAGGTAATTTTCCTTTTTTCTCTAAATGTTTATTATTTTTATTATATTTATATTAATACTTTTTATCTGAGACTTAAAATTATCTATGAAATTTTTTTTAGCTTTTATTTTTCCCTTTTTTTTTTAAAAATTAATTTTCTTTTTAAAATATTCTTGAACGGTTTATATATTTCTAAGTTTTATATTGTTTGCTTCTTGTTTAATAGTTCGATTTATTTATACAATATCCTTTAAAATTATTTTTTTTGAGAAATTAAATTTTTTCCATTTTCTTTAAAGTTAATTGTGCAAAATCTATAATGGAAATATATTAGTTTATAATTTTTTTATAAAATTAATTTTTTTTCCAAAACTTATAAAATAACTTTTAAAAATTTTTTTTTTATATTTTGTTGATTAAAATCATTTATTCGAAATTCTTTCAACGATTATTTTTATATATATTTCTTACTTTTCCCAAGATTAAAACTTTATAAGTTCCAGTTCTTTTCGAAAGATTATAAATTTTTTAATTTTAACGTTTTTTTGGACTAAATAATAATAATTATTTGAAATTTTTATAAATAAGAATTGAATAGCTTTATATAAAAAACAAACTAAATAATTTAGATTCTAAAGAATATTTTAAAAAGTTTTATAGTTTTATAAAAAGTAAATATTAAATTATTATAAGAAATAAAAAATATTAATAGTAATAGAAAAGTTAATAATAACAAGTAAATTTTTAGACTAACAAAAAAAATAGTAATAGGCGAAAGAGAATTTTTTTTTATTTTTTCTACAACAAAAGTTTTTTCAGAGCTCCAATTGTTGTTTCTAAATAGTAACAATAATAATAATAATAATAATAATAATAATAATAATAATAATATAATTGTATTTATTTTTTATAATTTTTGATAATATTGCAATTCTATA